CACAGCCTCTAAATCATTCCTTCCTAGAGGCCGGGGAGATGGCTCAGTAAAATAAGCACTTCTCTGGCAAGCACAAGGGCCTGAGTACAATCCCTGGTTTCACCAAAAAAATAAAAAAGAAAAAAAGAAGAAAGAAAGAAAGAAAGAAAGAAAGAAAGAAAGAAAGAAAGAAAGAAAATCACTCCTTCCAAGAAATATACTGCAACATTTTTATACAATAATCTACAAAAATGCTATGCTGAATTCTTCTCTTCACCAGTCTTTCCTTAAGAAAAGCATAGTGGATACTGTCCATTTCTTAATTATTTATAAACTCTCATCTGAAAATAAAACACCCAGTTTTATTTTTTTAAAAAAAGATTCTTGTTAACTATTTTTCTTTCCATGGAATTTATTATGGATGATCAAATGAAATAATCATAATACGTTTAAATCAATGATGACACATTTCAATTTTTACACATAATACTAAGGAATGTTGTACAAAACAGGCAGTAACAGTAAATAATGATAATATACATGAAAAAGTGTAGATTTACTTTAAAAAGAAAAACAGTATTGGTACCATTTTTGCTTCTATGCCCTTCTTGCTTCATCAGTACTAAGTCTAAACGTACATAGAAATATAAGGATAAAAAGTAAAACTTGTACAAAATATTCAATAAAGAAAACATTTAAAAGAAAAGATTCTCCTACAATGACCAGAAAGTAAATTTCTAAGCTAAAGAGCACTTTTAAATTATCTGAAATTACATTAAAGACAGTTAAAGGACAAAACAACTCCTAAACAGCATGAGAAAGTGATGTCACTTCCACCCTGGGGAAAGTTTCTTGGCAGCTTCGTGGTCAGAGTGTTGTGACAAGTAGTCCAGCCTACAAGAGCTGGAGTGGTGGTCCCGGGACCGAAAACTTGCATGTGGTACATTAAGTAGGTCTCATTGGCTTATTCACAGGAGCCAACAGAAATGAGCTCCCTGAAGCAGACCAGGTGAGCCAAGTGCCTGTTGCTTAGAAGAAGGACACTCAATGGTGTCCGAGAAGAGAGAAGGGACATATATGCCTAAGTGACATCTAGCTCAGTGTCATCCTCTCTAAATGGAATCTGAGCACCAGATCCCAGCACTGTATGAGAATTCTCTCTGTTGCACATTCATGATTTCAGAAAGGCGGGGGATGTATTTCTCTGAGGTAATTTCACTTAGGACAAAGATCAGAAGGGAGCCCAGTAACTGTTCTCTGTTCTACCAGCAATATTTCAGTATGATTTTCAGAGGGGCAAGGAGCTTTGTGCATTACACAGAAGCACGGGCCTCTGAAATGCTACCTCAGAGCCTTTCGATCTGAGAGGCACCTGGGCATTACGGACAAGCTTTATTCTACCTTATTCCACTCCAGCAGCTTGTATGACTCTCACCCTTTGGTAGGGATTATAGTCCCTTACTTTTTTCAGCCTTCAGCTCAAGTAATATTTACAACCTTTTATCTAAGGCAAGATGAAAACAATTTTACTAAAGGCTGTGAAAAACGTACACTTTGTATTTACACTTTGTTGTAAACATAAAGCATTTTATTAGCAGCAGGTTTGATTTGTAGTATATGACAAATTCTGGCTTTAAAGCTCTATCATTTTTAATCTGTTTTTTTTCATAAATGATGAATTAACTCCTTCTCCCTTCTCAAATTCCCACTTGTCTTTTTATACTAGTTTGACTGTAACATTTTTAAGCAAATATTCTAACATTTATCTTGCATTAAAAAGTTAAATTTTCAGTAATGTTGCTACTTTAGCTCATCTTATATAAATGAAGTTTGTGATGGGCAGGAAACTTTCACCCCTCATTTCACGCTAGAAGGGGCAACAAGCACTACTAAAATGCTTCTTCCTATTTCATCCATTTGCATGCTAGTATTTCCCTACATATTCAGAAGTTCATGAGAATTACTTTGAAAAAAACACATGAAGGACATCATGTACTTTCTTCACATCTCTTATACTGGTGACATACTAAATGGAAAGGAAAAAACATAATGAAAGAATACTAAATATAAATCCATAGAGGTAGCATGTATATACTTTCC